GCCGAAATGGGGCAACGTTGAATCCATGCATTTTGGGCTTCGAACCAGAGACCTGAGAGCCGAACTGGGCTTGGAAGCAGAGACCTGATGAGCCGAAATGGGCTTTGAACCAGAGACCTGAGAGCCGAAATGGGCTTGGAACCAGAGACCCGATGAGCCGAAAATGGGCTTGGAACCAGAGACCTGAGAGCCGAGATGGGGCATCGTTGAATCCATGCATTTTGGGCTTCGAACCAGAGACCTGAGAGCCGAAATGGGTGGCTTGGACCATCCCGCTTTTCCTCAGCCCTGGGGGCAAGTACCACTTGGTACCCGAATTCTCAAAATCTGACCGTAGATTAGGAAGATCAACGGCCAGAAATGAAGAATCAGCGTCAGTGGGACTTGGCCCCTGGTGGTGTCATTCATGTATGGGGGGGGGGGGAGAGGTGGTTCTCCACATCAGCTTTCAGAAGGATGGACGTGCGCGCTTCTGGTTGACTGATTGAAAAGGCCTGAAAGGCCTTCCTGTCCAGGTATGACAGGTTTTTTTTTTTTTTTTTTTTTTTTTTTTGATTGGTTGGGCAAATTTTGTGTGTGTGTGTGGGGGGGGAAACGGTGGCAGGACCCGGGACAGCCTTGCATGACTGATTGCGGGGGTGATTCCTGTGGCTGTGGGGTGTGCATTTAGGCTACCAGAAGGGCCCGGGAACACTTGCCCGGCCGGGCCAAAGAAAATATTTTTAATGTTATTTTTTATTTCACATTTCGTAAAGAATTTCGATGTGGCCCTTTATTTTTCTGCATAACATAGTTTTTTGTTTCAGAGTTTTTTTTTTTTTTTTTTTTTTTTTTTCGCAGGTACCTTCCTTGGTCCTTGCACGGCTGCGCCGCCCGGAAAAACGAGGTGACCCGGGCGGCCCGGCTGGTATCCCAGATGTGCATGTTCCATTTGAATTAGTTTGCCCATTCCCTGATCTGTCCGTGCGCATCCGTTTCTGCATCTGTGGGTTGCGGGTGTCCCCTTTAAGAGAATTGAAATTGGATTAAGCTCCCGAATGTGGTCGTGTTTTACGCACAGATGCAGAAATGCAATTCAATCAAGATTTTCTGCACCTCTCCACAAACAAGTCCAGATTCAGACTTTCAATTCATTCCTCTGTGCTAGTGGGACCTGGCCAGTGGATTTGAATCAGAATGACAATGTCTTCTTTTTTTCTCTTTTTTTTTTTACTTCGGACCCCGTTCTCATTTGTAATTCACCCTCCCCTCCCCCCCCCCTCCCTTTCAAAAGAAAAAAGACAAAAAAAGGGGCCGTTTGGCCCATTTCTGGATTTATGTGCGTCATCCTTGCGCCGAGACCACCATGCTAATCAATCTTCTCTGTACGGTTCCAAATTTACCGCACGGCCCTAAGGACTATTTTTTTTTGTTTTTTTTTTTAATGTTTACAAGGAAACGCTGCTCTCTATTATCATTTTTCTTTGTTCTGAAATCACGCTTTTCGTTTTTTTTTTTTTTTTTTTTTTTTTGTGCAAATGAAAGGTAAAGAGACAATGACGTGGGGCGAGAAATGGCGGGAAGAGATGTGTCGGGATCCCAGCCCACGTGGCTGATTGTTGCAGACATCTAATTGCTTCTTTTTAGCGAACAGATCATGAGTTCGAATCTCGATGGACGTAAGCGGATATTGTCCCAAAGGACTTTCTTCTCTTTTCAACGAAATCACGTTTTTTTTTTGTTTTTTTTTTTTAGGTCAAAGAGGAAAAGACAGTCATGGGGCGCGAAATGGCGGGAAAAGATGTGTCGGGATCCGAGTCCAAGTGGCTGATTGTTCCACACATCTAATGGTTTAAATTTTAATCAGCAGATCATGCATGAGTACCAAGCTCGATGGACGTAGATGGTTGGCTATAGGGCCTCGCTCGCTGCACTACTTTCCACATGCACAAAAGACAAAAAAGATGGCGTGTATCTTTCTTTCTTTCTTCTTCTTCTTCTTCTTCTTTTTTTTTTTTTTTTTTTTTTTTTGTGACACGCAGACAGAACCAACCGAGAAGGGCCAATTGCCGTAAATGTTATCGTTTTGCGCTTTTGGAGAGTAGTGCAGCGATGCCCTTAGATTCTGGTCTCTTCTTTGAAGTGCGGCCCGGTCTTCGTTCATAAGGATCAGTTCAATAGCCCAGTAACATTTGCCAAATTGAATATCTTCTGCCCTGTAACTCTGAAGTACAACACTCTTTCTTCTAAGAGTAAACTACGGCGCAGTCAGGGTTTGAGTTTGTAATTGCACTTGATTGAGGCAAAAGGGCCGGTCGGTAATGGTGAATGTATATGACCTACGTTTCCGGTCCGGTGGGGTCACGTGGGGGTGTGTTGTATTCGCCGGATTGCCTGAAGTGCAGTTACAAACTGTTTCCGTGACCGTGCCGAAGTTACCCCAAAAAAGGAACAACAACAACAACAACAACAGAAAACTACGGCGCAGTCAGGGTTTGAGTTTGTAATTGCACTTGATTGAGGCAAAAGGGCCGGTAATGGTGAATGTATATGGCCTATGTTTCGGGTCCGGTGGGGTTACGTGGGGGTGAGTTGTATTCGCCGGATTGCCTGAAGTGCAGTTACAAACTGTTTTCGTGACTGCGCCGAAGTTACCCCTTCTTCCAAACTGTTGTGTTAATCATTAACCAAGAGAGAGGGGGTCTCAAAATACCTAGGCTACCAGAGTGGCCCGGGATCACTTGCCCAGCCGGGCCGCTGGGGTCACCCTATTTTCCGGGGCGGCCCGGCCGTGCACGGACCAGGGAAGGTCCCAGCCAAAAAAAAAAAAAAAAAATCCAAAAAATCCGGAAAAAAAAAACTATGTTATAAAAATGAACTGAACATTTTTTGCCTCAGGGTCACATCGAAATTCTTTACCAAATTTAAAATAAAAAGTCAAATTAAAAAAAAAATATATGTATATATTTTTACTTGTTTATATCTTTTTGGCCCGGCCGGGCAAGTGGACCCGCGCCACTCTGGTAGCCTAGTTTTTAATGTTATTTTTTATTTCAAATTTCGTAAACAATTTCGATGTGACCCTTTATTTTTCTGCATAACATAGTTTTTTGTTTCAGAGTTTTTTTTTTTTTTTTTTTTGCAGGTACCTTCCTTGGTCCTTGCACGGCTGCACCGCCCGGGAAAACAAGATCACCTCGGCGGCCCGGCTGGTATCCCAGCAAAATACCTAATATATGGATGTTAGACTGCAGCCGTGCTCCCTCCTCGACCGCATCGAAACTAGTTGAGGAATATTGGAAAGGGGGATATGAAAAAAAAAAGAAAAAAAAAAGAAAAAAAAAGAAAGGGGGATATGAGGTCAGGTGGGTTACTATGGAGGGGGCGCGGTGCTACTGGGAGGGCTGTGTCGCATCGTCGTGTCGGCGGGAAGGATGATCTTACGCTGGCATGGAGGGCAGCGATGAGTGGTGGGGATGTGCGAGGTGATGGCACACATGCTGGCGACGGTGGGTTGTGCTACAACGACGTCGTTGTTTCGGCCGGAAGGAAGATCTTACGCTGGCATGGAGGGCAGCGATGAGGGGGGATATGCGAGGTGATGGCACTACAACGGCGTCTTCGTTTCCGCGGGAAGGATGATCTCACGCTGGCATGGAGGGCAGCGATGAGGGGGGATATGCGAGGTGATGGCACACATGCTGGCGACGGTGGGTTGGGCTACAACGGCGTCGTCGTTTCAGCGGGAAGGAAGATCTTACGCTGGCATGGAGGGGATCGAGGAGGGGGGATGTGCGAGGTGATGGCGCACATTCTGGTGGCGGTGGGTCGGGCTACAACGGTTTCTCGTTCTGTTTCATGCCGACCGTGTATCAACTTTCTTGTTGACCTTTGTCCATCTGTTGGTCAGGATGTTCCTGGAGGCTGCATCGCGGTTTTAGTCTTGCCTGAACCCTCCTCTATGGGAGCGTGTAGGCGGACTTTATAGGGTTTCCGATACCATGCTCTGATTTGCATTGGTACAGTGAGACGGGGTGTCACAACTTGCAAGAAGAAAAAGGATACTGTCAGGCTCAAAACTTGGCTTCATCAGAATAAAGTTTAGATCATTGCTCTTCTACATGAAACTAAGCTAAATGTAGAAAAGATCAAGCTCGTCTGGTACAAGGAACTAAGCTAATCGAAATGTGGAAAGGATCAAAGCACTGGGAAATTAATGGAGTGGCAGACAGTGGTGGGCACCAGCAAACGGAATGAAAAGGGGGGAGGATGCTATTTTATTCCAGAAAGATGTTGATTGTTAGGTTTTGAATTATTTCTTCTTTTTCTTCTTTTTCTTCTGCTTCTTCTTCTTCTCCTTCTTCTTCTTTATTATTTATAAGAATTTGGACCATTTCTCGATTTATGCGTGTCATCCTTGTGCAGGGGCCATGTTAATCTTCTCCGGATGTCCCGAAGGACAGGTTTTGAATTATTTCTATGATTCCCTCAGTGGCAGGGTTGCATCTGCTGTTACATGCTGCGCCTGCACACGAGGGCCATTTTCCAGGCCCTGCGTCCTTCAGGCTGAAAGCCTGAAATTAAGGGCCTACAGGCCCCGTGTCTGTTCAGCTCGAAAGCCTGAAAACAGGGGCCTACAGGCTCTGTGTCGTTTCAGCCTAAAAAGGGACTGTCAGTGAGCCTTTTTAGCCTAAAACGAAGGGCCATTTTCGGGCCCTCATCAGACTGACCTGCCCTGAAACTCAGGCACCAAAACCAGGGTTTTAGGCACAGGCTATTTTGTCCTGTCCCCAAGACAACCTCTGTTTGGGCTGCAACACCAGATCCTGGCACGTTTTGGCATTGCCAAGAGCAGCCTCCCGGACGGGCCAGCACTATATAGGACTGGCCCGCCCTGCAGACCGGCAGGTAGTGAGACGCAGTTCGTGGGAACTTCCCAGGCAGTTCACGTGCAGGAGGCCGGAGGCAGTAGTCTTCAGGATTCGGCAGCAGCACTCTCGAGGGGCGCCGCAGTAGTATTAGCGCTAGCAGTATACTCCAGCGCTGGGCGCTAGTAGCGTTAGTTGTAGTCTTCAGCGCTGGGCGCTATTAGGGAGCTAGAGTAGAGTGGGAGAGAGATGGTTGGCGGAGGCCAGGGAGGCTTACCTGTGGCGCCATAGCTCCAGCTTCATCTTCGAGGTACCTGCAGCAAGGCGCCAACTTCACAGGTTAGTACTGGATCGAAAGAGAGAGAGAGAGAGAGTTCTTCTCTTCCTCTTCTCAGTCCACCATCTGTTCTTCACCCTGTCGCTACCTGACTTCTCAGTATCTGCAGACTACGGGAGAGAGAGACTTGTGACTTTGAGACTTGACGACATTTGGAACCAGACTCGACATTGGGGTTCAGACATTTGACGAGGGATTATTTGGGGCTTGTACCAAAGACTTGGTGTTGGCGACATTCCCATCTCCCCTCTCCTCCTTTGTCTGATCCTTTCTCTCCTCGTGTGTGTATGGTTGGACCTGGCGCGCTCTTCTGTGTAAGCTGCCAGGCCTTTCACACCTTGCAACGATGATGATGAACGTTGGGTCTGTATTACGACATTGGTTGGGATGATCATTGATATCTTAGCATTCCGCTGCGCTATCTTGTACTATGTGCAGCAGGTCGGTCCTTGTTCTGTTTTGCACCATTACGGTATCACATAGTTCGGTATCCCTCCTCTTCTGACATGTGTATGTATCATGAGATGCCATGTCAGTCCCAGTCAAGTTAGGACTCGTATCCAGGTCTCCCACTGTGCTACGGAGTACCATTTTGCATGTATCAGGATGAACATTGCTTGTTGAGATTTCATTAACACTGCATTGTCCTTTCAGTCCTTTTCATCACTTTGCGGATCCTTGGCTCCCACACATTGCCCGACTGGGCATGTAACAGTTGGTATCGGAGCTACGCATGTGAATCAGGACAACCTGATCGACATCTGGACTTAACTGCTGAAAATCAAAATTTTCTTTTTTTTCTTGGATTTTGTTTTCCCGCTATTTCTGTTGGGGGAAAATCGCAATAGCGCAACACCTGAAATTTCCGTTTTCGTTTTTCTTCTGAAAATTCAAAATTTCGTTGTTGAAAATCCGGAATATTTTTTCGTCAAAACTTTCGATTTCCTTTTTATTTCCCGCTATTCGGAAAGCCGGAATATTCTGTTATTTCCGAAATTCGTTTTTTTTGTTCAAAAAGGATACGGGAAATCCCTCTTGCAGTTACCATTTTCCAAACTTCGTGTATTCCCATCTGAGTAATTCTGAATATTCTTTTTATTTATTTTTCTGAGTTTTTTTTTTGCAGTTCTAGAATTTTTTTTTACTATCGGCAATCATTGGCAGTCTGAAAGTTTTGAATTTTTTTTTTCTCATTGGTACTTTAGAGGGAATTGGGAGACCTACTGAATTTACAAAAAAAAAAAAAAACGAAACGAGTATTTTTTTGCAAAGTTCAAACTTTTCTTTTTTTATTAGTGGCTCCTTATCTGGGCTATTTATCCCACCCACCCCTCCCCACCTACGTTGTTGCCACCTCTGGTCTTATCTTCTTCATCTGCTTCCGGGTACCCCTGCGGCGGCATTGGTGAGTTGCCACATCAGCAGGCCATGTCAGCAGACCACATCAGCAGTGATGCGTCTATGTTTGACTGACAGTTCACTACACTTAGGCCGAACCTACAGGACTGACCCTAGGACTGCTAAAACTAAGGTCTACGGGTCAAGTCTACGTGACCCGATTATACACACGAGATCCAAACATACGTTTTAGGGAACAGGTCACGGGTTCGAGGCGCACAGGGTCAACGGGTAGCTGTACAGGGGTTTAGGGGGTAAGTCTAGGGATCGAGCCCTGGGATCTGCGATTGTCACGCGAACTGGGTGAAACCCTTTCACTCAAAGCAGATGAGTAAAATATTACAATTCTGAGTACTAGGTGAGGTTCGAACAGTTTCTCACAGGAAAACCGGTGCAATAGGCGTCGGGTTAGGGACACGCTACAACAGAGTGGTAGAAAGGGAGCTGCACAGAAGGATGAAAGGATGCTTTTACACTACTGTCTTCCCCCGAATACAACGTACCGTCATTATAGCTGAATTTGGGGTATCTTTCCCCCCAATACAACTTAAATGACCGTACGTTGTATTCGGGGGAAGAAGGTAGGTGAAACGGTTTTCACCTTTGCAGTAGCGGATGCAGATCCCAGGGCTCGATTCCTAGACCTCGCTCACCTGTGTACAGTACCCCGTGAGTTTGAACCCGTAACCTGCGTCTTAGGGGTCATATGTTGTCTGTCGTAGGTTTGCGTAGTTGTCGGGTCTTGAACTGTAGGTCTGTCGCATAGGGGTCAAAGTTATCGTAGTGGTTGTAGCTGTAGCTTTTCTGAAAGGTCAACATCGTAGCTGCTACAATCCTGAAAGGTCAAGGTCGTAGCTGCTACAGTACCTGAAAGGCCAGCCCGTAGGCTTCCGGAAGCTCCGGAAGCGACCTTTCGAGAGGGTCCCACCACTAAGTCATAGGCAAGTGGGCAAGTGGGGAGTCCTACCGTGCTGAGTTTGCGGTACCAGTCCCAGTCGCACTTAGTCCAGTCAGCAAGTACCATGTGGGATTGTGTGCACCAAGGGCCCGGTGGGAAAGGGGCAAACCAGCGGCCAATAGAAGTATAAATCAAGCGGCAGCGCCCAGCCATTCATTCATTCTGCTGTGCGCCATGCGGAAGCGCTGCCCGAGCGTCTTGTGCGAAGGTGGTCTGCAGATGCCCGTAGTTGAAGTGGGTGAGAAGACTGCTAGTGTTAGTATTAGAAGTTAGTAGCGGCCATAGCCGCCGAGGTAGAAGGTAGGAGACAAAGGGTTAGTGTGTGCGTGTGCGTGTGGGATATTCAGGGTGATCCAGAGTGAGTGCGTGTGTGTGCGAACAGTGGTGGACAGTCGAGAGTGGGATGTACAGGCGCTATTGCGCCATAGCCTGACGAGTTGAGTTTGCATCTGAACTGTGTTCTCAAGTTCCATGTCTCTGAGTTTTGAGTGGGCGCTGAGTGCCAGTTTGCCTTCCCATCTGTTTGCATGTATGCGAGTTGAAGAATAAAGCGAGTATGATTCCGTTGGTATCGGAGCTGGTTCCCGTTATCTCACACGCCGCTGTTGTTGTCCACCGTCGGGCGCCATAGCTGCACCGCGCCATTGAGGAAGGAGGTTCGCCATAGCCGCGCCGTAGGAGGAAGGCGCCGCGTACCTGCAAGAAGGGCAACGACGAAGAGAGAGAGAGAGAGAGAGTGTGTGTGTGAGAGAGAGAGAGAGAGAGAGAGAGAGAGAGAGAGAGAGAGAGAGAGAGAGAGAGAGAGAGAGGGGAGTGATAGAAGATTGTTGTGCGGTCCAAGGAGAAAGAAGGCGACCATAGCCGCGGAGCTCGGACATAGAGGAGAGAGAAAGAGAAGGTGAAGCGAAGGAGGGAGGAGAGACGAGAAAGGAGAAAAAACCATAGCTGAGGAGGGAGGAAGGAGGGGCAATGAAGGAGAAGGCGGACATAACCGAGGGTGAAGAAAGAGAGAAGTGAGGAAGTAGAAAGGAGGGAGAAAGAGGAGTGAGGGACTGTGCGAGAAGAAGTGTCGGCAGCCATAGCCGAAGTGAGGGTTGACTAAGGCGTTGACTCCGACGTTGACCGAGGGTTGACAGGGCATTGACCGAGGGTTGAGCGGGCGTTGACCGAGGGTTGACCGGGCATTGAACGAGGGATGACCGGGGCATTGACGAAGGTTGACCGCGCTAACCAAGGCATTGACCGGAGCTGCTGACCACGAAATTGTCCAGGCTGGAGTTGGTATAATCTCGCCAAGCCCTTAGCCTATTCCCTCGCCCTATGGATGTGCACTCACCCCATGGTACTTGCTGAGTTTGTCTGTCTCTTCTTTCTGCATTTAGTCTTTTTTGTCCAGGTGATAGGAACTCCGTGTATGAAGGATAGAGCCGCGTTGACCAAACCCACACGGGCTGAGTAGGGCTTAATTCCATGTCTGACAACTGACACGTCCCGGAGGACAAACCCTCCCAAGGACCGGTACTGACCGGCGGGCTCAACATTGTGGCATGGGTGGCCCAAAATCCGAGTTGTGGGGTGCACAACGGGCTGTCTAAGTCTTGAGAGGACTTGCTGATCACGTCGTCCTGTTTGCGACGTTAAAGAATTCTTGAGGAGCTATGGGGGATCTCCTTAAATGCCTCCTGATCAGCGTTGAAGTTCTGTAGTGACAACTTAGAAGTAGGTCTAGGCTAGAGACCATAGTTGTCAGGGTCTGAACCGGAGAGAAAGCCAGGTGGGATTGACTGCAGGTGCTGGGCATCAGTGTTTGGATTGTAAAGGACAGTGGTGGCGAAAGCTTCCGTCGGCCGTGGTAACCTGGTTGGATCGAAGGGTAGGGCTTTGTGGTCCATAGACAGTCAGTCAGTCAGTCAAGTGGGTAGGTCTAAGTGGTGAGGAGTGGGACAATCACTGTCGTGCACCTGACACCATGGATGACTACCCCATGTAAGACTTGCTCGTGGGGTTCTCCCTCTGGGGGATCCTTTGGGATCTTCTCTTTCAGCTGGGATTCTAGAACACGTTCACGTGTAGAACACCCAGGAGCAGGAGGAGGAGGCAGCAAGAATTTTGGCTGAGCATAAGGCCAGAAAAGAGAAGAAGGAGGTGGTGAAACAGACCAAAAAGTTGGCCCTGTTGCAGGAGCAAGCGGCCAAGAGAAAGCAGTTAGAGGAAGAGATGGAGAAGTTGAAGAAGGAGGAGGAAGAAAAAATGAAGGCAGTATATGAAGAAGAGGAAGAGGAGAAGAAGGCAGAAGAGGAAGAGCCCCTCATCAGGAGAACCACAAGGGAGAGAGGGGAGTCTAGTGGCACGAGGAAGGAAGATCCCTGGATCGAGAAGGTGTCTGAGTGGGTGGCCAACCTGTCATTGGGGGAAACAGAGGAGGCGATGTTGTATGTCCCCAGAGAAGAACAGGAGGCGGTGATCAAAGAGATAGAAGTCGAAGCAGATCCTCTCAAACGACAGACGATAGAGGAGGATAAGCAATCAGAATGGAAATTGCGTCTGACCAGAGAGAAGAAGAAGAGGATAGAAGAGCTAGCAAGGTGGCGAAAGAGTTAGAAGAGATTAAGCATCAGAGAGAACAGTTAGCGGCACAAGCGGATATCCAGGGAAAGATGGAAGTGCACAAATGGTTAACGGGGACCTCCATTTTCAGCTCCTGACTAATGGGACCAAAACTGAAATTAGGGTTTGGGGGTCAAATTTTTGGTTTTTTGTTTTTTTTGTTTTTTTGCCTGTTTTTGTTTTGGTTTAAGGTTGCTGTCTGCCAAATTTGGTATTATTTGGGTTATTAAAATTTGTGCTGTTGGGAGGCCTGAAAATCCTGAAATTTGGATGACGTGTTTTAAATATGTTAGTAAGAAGTGCACTCTATACATTGGTGTGGAGTTTGGTTGAAATGGCCTTATGGTTTTCTTATAAATTGACCTGAAAATGGGGGGTCGGTTAACCTTCTCTCTGGAAGTGATGGCGAAAAATATAGAACGCCTGACAAATGCTTACAATGAGCAGTACCAGGTTTCTAGGAGTTAGGATGTTACATTGCGATCCATTCGTGTAAGCTTCAGAGAGTTTGCACGGGAAATGATGGTGCATGTAGGCACTGAGATGAAGGCTAGATTGGAGAATACTGAGCGATTGTGCACTGGCGGCGCAAAGCTTGCTGCTCCCAAAGAGGAGGAATTTCGTCCCCGTAGAGAGCCTGTAAAAAAGAAGTTCCCTTATCCATATAGTGGGAAGAGGGAGGAGAACTTCGACAATTGGGAGGCAAACGTGAACTCGTACCTTCGCTTGCAGAAGATATCTCCTGAGGAACATGTCCTCATTGCTTTCCACGCTCTTAGGGATGAAGCCGCTAGCTTCGCCAGATCGCTCTACCGTGCTGCAAAGTGTGATGACGATATGGTCGCGTATTCCCAGATTACCCCCTGAGTGATTTCTTTAAGTTGTTGCGCGAAAGGTTTGCAGATGTCACACGAAGCGTTAGAGCTTCTGGCAAGCTGCAGACCATCCATACTCGCCACTGGAAGAGTGCAAGGGCACTCAAGGGCGTGATGGATGAGTTGGTCTCCGTCCCTGATCATGGGGTCACAGAGACCCAATTGGTCAACCTGTTTTATCGTGCCATGCCCGAGTTTCTGCGCGGGCACTTTTTCGAGAGGAGCAGAGAGTCTACCATGACCTACGATACTTTGAGTAGGGAAGTGGTAGCATTTGAGGCGCAATCCATGCCGGTTTCCACTTTTTGGCATAAGGACCCGGACAAGGGAAAGAAGTGGAAGGGCCGTACCATCTCGGGTCATGTTAAGGGCAAGGATCACCTGATCCTTACGTTAGATGAGGGTGGTATGGACGAGGTCCCATATGATCAGATAAAGTGGGGCCTGGAAGAGGAAGAGAGTGGCGATAGTTAGGGGAGGACTTACGCTGCTGTCGCGGCTGGAGGGAGGCCGCAAGGAAGAGGAGGAGGCCGGGGCCAAGGGGGCCAGGCTTCAAGTGGTCGTGGACAGAGCGATCAGGGGGTTGGCGGTAGGGGAAATCGCCAAGCGGGAGGTAGGGGTCAAGGTCCCCCGCAAAACCGCTCTTGTTTCAATCGGTCATCCTATGGAAGGGGTGGATGGCACCTTGGTCTGCTAGAGGGCAGACCTTGGGAAGATCTGGGCTTAGAATAGTCTGTTTGGCAGAGGCGAATCGACCAGGATCAGTGCATCTACTGCGGTGATCCGGGCCACATTATAAAGTACTGACCTAAATATAGAGAAGCCCGGAGTGCTGCGCAGGCAGCAAAGGCAACCGCCGATAAGGGTTGCAACTGCCCCTATCCCTAGGCCATGTGGAGAAGAGTGCGCGCACCACAGAGAAACTCCCAAACCAAATGTGTCTATGGCAGAGGTTGTCGGCCAGTGCCCAGATAGCTGTCCGGAGATTGCTTGTATTAGAGTCTCTCTGGGTACTTCCCTCACAGGCGTGGCAAAAGAGTTGAAGGAGAACAAAGAAGCTAAAGGACAACTAGTATTAGTAGATGTAGAGATTTTCAGAGGCAGAGTAGGGGCCCTTATAGATAGTGGGGCCACACGAAGCTATATAAGTAGAAAAGCGCTGCAGAAGTTAAAGCTGATTTTAAAGGTCCAAAAGTTGGAAGAGCCTATAGTTAGTATCCTCGCATATAATCACACAATTCGAATCGAGGAGTGCGTAGAGGGAGTCCAGGCGTACTTTCGCCTAGAGAAGGATGGGAAGGTAGAAAAAATCCTCCATTCCTTGACTCTCCTCGTAGAAGACAACCTTCCGTTCGATATAGTCCTAGGAATGGACTGGGGAGAGGCAGCAGGGGTCACACTCCATTTGAGAGAGCATGAGTGTAGGCTCCCTAGTCCGTCAGGCGAAGTTAAGACTGCTCGTCTGTTCCATATGTCAGGGATAGACAACTCTTTGGCACATTGCTGTCTCAGTGCTCCCGCGTTCACGCGATTAGTGAGGAAGGAGCGACTAGAAGAATATGTCTTTTTAGCCTATGTTAGACCTGTTACTGAGCCTAAGGAAGACAAGCCCATAGAACCTACTATTGTCAAGCTGCTGGAGGAATATACAGACTTAGCTAAGCCACCTACAGGAGTAGTGCAGCGGCCTATCCAACATCGCATTGAGATAGAGCCTGGCATTAGGACTCCTAAGGGAGTTATCTACAGAATGTCCCCAAGGAAGCTAGAGGAGCTATGCAAGTCAGTATGGTATAGGTGCTGTTCTACAACTAGATGATGGCAATGGGTATACACCATACATGCGGCGCATCGCGATGCGCTGCACTGCGCACGTGCGCCGCACCGCGCATCCCGCACCACGTGCGCGCACTGCATGCGGCGCACCTCCAAAAATGGGGGTCAAAAAAAAAAAAAAGAAGTTGTGAGGGGCGGTAGTAGACCCGGCCCCCTTGCTCGCGTAATTTAAAAAACGGGCAGCCAAATTTTTTTTGGAGACCGCGCGTTGGCCTGAAAGCTTTTAGTAACCTGTAGTTCGGGAACACTCTGTGTGTGGTAGGGTTATTGCAGTCTGTATGGTAGGGTTCTTGCAGGCCAGATTCAGTCATGATGAGGGTCGCAATTTCTCAAAACGTTATCTTCTTATTACTTCGGAAGTAGAAAACGACGCAACTGACAACCGTTTTTCCTGGAATGTTTTTTTTTTTGTTTTTTTAAAGGAAGAAAATCAGAATTTCTTTGCACGAGTGTCGCCCGGCACGTCCAACCTGTCAGAACCTCAACGGTAATTGCAGTCTGTATGGTAGGGTTCTTGCAGGCCAGATTCAGTCATGATGAGGGTCGCGATCTCTCAAAACGTTCTCTTTGTATTACTTCTGAAGTAGAAAACGACAGAACTGGCAGCCGTTTTTCCTTT